CTGTAGAATTAAAGCAACATCTGAAATAAAGCACTGAATGTGCTAGGAGTAGAATTGGGGAAATAGAAGAGGCATGACTGTGAAAACAGCAACAGAAATGATCACCGGGAAGAAGAGAAGGGGAAAAGTGCTTAAAAATGAACCATCTCCAAGACGTGCAGGGCAGCAGAAAGTATGCACTATATCAATAATTGTCATGTCAACAGATTAAGGACAGAAAAGAATGTTTGAAGATACAATGCTTGCGAAATTCCCCAGTGCTGTGAATTTAAAGACCCAAGATGACCTATGAACTCCCTGAAGGGCAGCTATGAAAAACACGTGCCTAAGGTACAGAGCACTCAAACACCAAAAGCAAAGATCAGGAGGCAACCTCGAGGTGGTGCATATCCACAGTGGAATACTACTCAGCCATCAAAAAGATGAAATACTGCCATTTGCAACAACATGGATAGACCTTGAGACTATCTTGCTAAGTGAAATAAGTCAGAAAAAATCTAACCATATGATTTCATTCCCATGTGGGATAGAAAATAGAAACTCACAGACACAGACAACAGTGTGGTGGGTACCAGAGAGAAGGGCGTGAGGGGACAGCAACGGATAAAGGGGCCAAATCTATGGTGACAGGAACAGATTTGGCTTTGGGTGGCGGGTACACAGTGCAGTACACTGGTTGCGTATCATAGAAATGTACACTTGGAACCTATATAATCTTATTAACCAATGCCATCCCAACGAATTTAATTGGAAAAAATTTTAAAAGAGAGATGATCTTGGAAAGTGAACAGAGAAAAATGGCACACTCCAAACAGGGAATATGGCCGTTCACTTCTCAGTTGGAAAAAAACGGAGACCAGATTTCAGTGAAACGCCATCTTTCAGGTGCTGGGAGAAAAACCAAAACATCCTCGGTCAGAACAGAATGGCACACCCAGAAAACACCGCCTTCAGGACGAAGGTCAAGTGCACATGCAGGGGGCGGGGGGTGTAGCCAGCAGAATTCACAAGATGCATTCTTACGGAGTCAAATGGTTTGGAGTGACAGGGTCTTGGTTCTTCAAACATCCCGGAGCAGAGTGACAGAGACCCCAGCCCCACGGGTCCCACGGACCTGACCCCCACTATCCCTGTGCTGAAAAGGGCTCTGAGAGAAGGTAGATGTTACCAAGAAGCAGCAGCTAAAAGTCCACCGAAGGGAATACTCGGATCACCGTGGGTTCCAGACTCAAGGGGCTGCCCAGGTGAAACCTGAAGCTGGCTTCCAGGCGGGAGGGCAGACAGAGCGGGAGGAAAAGGCGGGTGCTCCCGTTGACAGGTGACAGGTGTGCCACTAAGCAAGGGCCTTTACGCACAGGCTCATCCTGGGCACACCTGTCAGGGTCTTAACTTCAAATAGAGTTCAGTCCCCTCTGCTGTCCAGGTGGGCTCAACCCCTGGAGAGCACTTTAGCGTGGGGGTGGTAGGCGGAGCACACACCCCCAGGACCGAGGGTGGTGGGCGGGGAGGGGCGAGAGCAGGCTCCAGTTCCGGGCCAGGCTCTGACTGCCCAGTGCAGACAGTGAGTCACCCGCCGACATGCCCCCTCGACAACCTCCCCCAACAATTCAAAAAGCCTCCCATGAAACAATCGAAACGCAAGCTTTAACTACAGCATAGCACCTAGCTTACCAGTAAAAATACTTAATAAGAAATAAAAGTTTATTTTCCTCTGCATAGGCGGGACAGTGGCCATTCAATACTCCAGCGAGCAGGTCTCAGAGAGGCGCTGAGAGCTGACCGCGCACACCTGCTTTTGTAGGAAGGCTTCCCGTGCAGGAAGCGCCAAAGGAAGGAGAGGGCTGATGGAGAGGCCGTGGAGCAACGTGGAGACTGAATTACAGAGTCACCCTGGGGGCCAGCCGGACTCCCTCTGCACGCTGAGGTTCACGTTACCCCGCCGTTCTGCAGCACCGAGGCATGATGGCCATGAGCAGCACCTCTGCCGGGGAGGACCTGCGTGTCTCTCACAATGAAACACAAACGTTCTGTGCAAATAATAAAACAGCAGCTCTTTTTTAAAAATAAAGATCCTACTGGGTTTTGGAAAATAGTTTAGACAATGGCACACAAGGTTTCAAAACCAAAATTTTCAGTGTGCATATTGTTTAGTAACATTATCACAAAATAGGCTCACTAGGCACTAAAAAAAAAAACCTACATACACGATGCATTTGGACTATAGAAAACCGAAGTGGAAACCGTAGTGAAAAAAGTCCCTATTTCGTAATCCTGAACGAGTCACAGGTAACAGTTTGGTTTCTTTTCTCTTCATACACGTGATTGTATCTAATTAGGATCATAAAGTGTATATCATTTTGTAACTTTAAGAAAAAGAAAGAAGACAGTGTGTTTCCAGAGCGTGACACCAGACCTGGCGAAGTCAGCCAGCACCTGTGGCGCAGAGCCCGTCACCGTGGAAACGCCCCAGGTGGGCCCTTGATGGGCCCACGGGCAGCATCCAACTGGGGGTCGGGCCCTGACTACTGGCAGAACAGGGGCAGCTGTTCCCTACCGAGTGGTCACTGTGCCCGGCCCCAGACCAACCCGGGGTAGCACTGACTGCAGGATCCCAAGGGGAGATTTCATTCTCGAATGCCATGTGCCGGTCCCTCTGAGAGCTGTCATTCCTTGGGCCAGGGCTCCTGCCTCTACTGGGAATGACGGAGGGGTTAATTAGCCCGTGGTGGGTCCTTAGTAGCACTTGGGTGATGGTCAGTCACCACCACCCCCGCCCCTCGGTCAGGAGCATGAAGCTTCAATGACCCTGCTGCCCAGGACTCATCAGAAGCCATCTAAGCTCTCGGCTGAAGGGCCGCCCTAAAAGAGAAATAAACGCTCCCCGAGCCATGTCTGCCCAAGAACAGGTCATCGTGACCTCCCTGACTGAAGCTGCCACGGCGGTGACAGGTAAACAACAGACTGTGCCCAAGTGAGTCCCGCCGGCCTTTGCCTGCACAGCACCGCGACGCAAACTCTCAGAACAGCATGTAGAACAGGAACACACTGATTTCAGACTTCTCACCCAATGCCCATTGAGTTTTATTAAACACTGTTATGTCCTCTGTCTCACGTGGGTGGGCTGGCACCTTCCAACCAGGCCTGTTACCCCCTGCGAGGGACGCACCCCTCATTCACCCCCGAACACCCTGGCCGGCCCCACGTCAATTCCACCCCCAGCACCCACACATTGCAGCAACCTTCAAGACAAACGACACCCTCCAAGTCCACACACTTCGAAGTCCAAGTACAGCTTAAGGCATTCTTCTTTGAGGAGGGGGATTGAAGTATGCATCACCTCCAGCAGATGGGGGCAATAATCTCACTTCTGGCGGTGGGCAGCGTCAAAGATTTCAAAACCCAAAGGCCAGACATGAACAGAGCTGTGCTCTAGACAGGAATTCGTACTGGGGTGTGAGGTGCTTGAAACGTAAGAGGAGTTAACAGTATTTGCTACCTGTGCGGTGGAGGAAGCATGTGTACCGAATTAATACAATTATTCCACGGACCAAGCTCGTGACTAACAGGTGCCCTGGTGCCCTCTAAGTTGTTACTGTCTGCTGGAACGCGTCCCAGAAAGGTTTATTGGTGGCAACACCCTGCGTGCGATACAACGTATCACGTTAACACCGGGAACCATGGGCATTTGTGAAAAGAAATTGACTGAAGCTTCTGAACTCCGCAGGTGTCTCCACCACACATTCACTGGTGTGTGAAACTTTATTATTTTTCATTTAAAGTCTTCTACTACCGGCTCCCACATATTAAAAAGACATTTGCTCTGGATATTAAATAAAGTAAATGTGAAAAGCGTAACCACTCCGATCATAGTTAACAAGGAAAGAGATCAGAGAGATGACTTGCTTATTAAATTATTTCACCCAACACCTGATGGGAGTAGAAAACTCTGGATATTACTCAGTTGAAATGAAGGTATGCGGTCCCCAAAGCTCATACCACACGACCCAGAAGACCCAGAGCTCCTTTACTCACCAAATGAACCAGTATCATTACAAACTGCAACCTCACAGGTGTCCACCCCCCCCCCCGGCAAGCAGACATTATTGGGAGTAATCTTCTAATAACACGCTAGTAAAATTAACGGCTGTCTGCATGGAAAGCGTGAAAAGCAAAACCAGGAGTAGCAACCACCAGCTGAAAGACGCACCACGGGTTCAGGCTACCTAGCAAATCCAAGATCCAAATCACTTGTCTTCTTTCCATTAAAAAAAAAATAGAAATGGGTTTAAATACTTAACAAGCACACAGACCCATGTTCTGCTGCAGAGCTCCCCCAGGTAAGGGTTTTCCTGCAAACTAACCGCAAACCTAGGTGAGCACCACAGGCGAGCGGCCAAACCAGGCTGCGCGCCACCGACCCGGACCCCGGGGGAGAGCTGGTGCAGGGCACGCGGAAGTACCCCCCCCCCCCCCAGCCCTAGCCCTACACACTCCGGGCTACCAGGAACTTGCGCCCTGGGTCCTCAGGCCGCTGCCCGCTCTCCTTCTTCGACTGTCGGTCCTGTCCCCGAAACCACTCTCTCCAGGTTAGCGGAGCCCCGTTGAAGTGAATGGAGCGCGCGGTCCCGGCCCCGGCTGGAGCGCGCGCGCGCAGACCCAGAGCGCTTCCTGGGGTCTCTCCCGCCAGCGACCGCCGCAGAGGTCACGTTTGACTCCCCCGGGCCCAGCTCCCGCCGCCGACCCTTCCCCAATGCCCAGCGACCTGGGGGACAGCTGCCCCTGCCACTAGTCCGCAGATCCCGCGTTCGTTCTGGCTTCCTGAACCAGCATCTCTCCTCACAGACCCCGTGCTCCTTCAGCGGTCTGAACGCGAGAACCCCACACACGCGGAGGAACCGGCGCCTCGGGGACCCCATACCATCGGGGGACACTCGCCCCAAACGGCTGCCTCCGCCTGCCCTCCAGGTCCCGCACCAGCCCCTTTGTCGTGGGTCCCTTACCTTGGAGCCTTTGCCCGGGGGACACCTGACGCTGTTGGAGACGCCCGCGGTTTGATTCATGTCCGGAGAAGTTGGGGTCCCGGTACTCCGCCTCCAAAACTTCTGCGCGCGGTGGTGGCGAGGAGGGCGCCCTCCTCAGAGGGGTGCGGGCGCCGCAGTCCGCCCTCGCGCCGCTGACTCTGCGGGTTTCAGTGCCCGGGGCTGTGGAGCCCGCAGCTTGGCCGCGGGGGAAGCGGTGCCTGACTCTCAGGAAGCCCGCCGGCCACTCCCGTGGCGCTTTGCCGGGCGCTGCCTTCCTGGGAACCCGCCCAGGACGCTCCGGACCAGAAGCCCCAGCGAGTCCCAGGGGGAACACCGGGCAGAGGCAAGGAGGTAAGCGAGGGGGAGACTCCGGTGGGAACACCCGTGGGTGCTCAGGGACCTTCGCTCGACGCCCCTCGGACGGAGCCGCGGTGCGCCGCACAGGGCTTCGCGCTCCGCTCCCGCTGAGCCGTCGTTAGGGCCGCCCAGGCCCCCGCCCGCGCCTGCAAGCGGTGATTACACGCAGGTCCGAGGGGCGGGCGCGCTCCCGGCTGCTCCCGCCCCGGGCTGCGCTCTCCTAGTCTTCCCGGGATGGTCTGGAGGTGGCTGCGAGGCTCTGCCCTGCGGCTCCGCGCGAGCGCGCGGGGGTGGCAGGGGCGGAGGAGGAGGAGCCGGGATGGTACCCAGGCTTCCTGGCCGAGTCCCCAACCGCCACAACCGAGGACGCCAGGCCCCCGCCCCGGGCGGCGTTGCGCGCTGGCCAGTCTGCAGAGCCCGCTGCGCGGGACTCGCGCGCCGGGGGAGAGTGCAGGGCGCCCCCTCTCGGGTTTGCAGTATGACTCTTTGCAGCTCCCTGGGGCTTCTGCTTTTTCTTTTCTTCTCTCTTTTTTTCCTTTTTGCGCCTCTCAAGGCGTGACCTAATTAGTCAGCATCCAGAGAGAAATGGAAAAGTGACCCTGGGGAACTGAGACAAACAAACCCGGAAAGGGGCCGCTGCGCCGTGAAGACTGCTCGGCAGAAGTGGAAATTGCGAGTCCGAACTGGGGGCCGGGGACACGTTAGGATACAGCTGTGATGTTTAGCCCGAGTGGAGTGTATCCAAGTGTTTTCCTAGATGTATCCACCACGGAGAGTTGAGATTGAATTTTCGGGATGGAAAACCAAGCCACACGATTGGGTTTCCGTTTCCCAGATGCACACCCTTGCCTTCATCATCTGTAAAACGAAGGAGGGAGTTGGGTTCACCTGTGAGAACCAGTGAGCCCTTTAGGTCACGCTGGGCCCCTGACAGATTTCATTCACGGGGGTTTGCCCGCAAGTGTTGAGTTTCCTTCATATTCCCAAGTCCCAATAGGAATCACCCCTCTTTTGTAAAACCAGTGACTGCATTTCAGTGGCTTTGGTCCACGGAAGAAGTTGAAAAGCAACTCATGACAACTCTGTCCCGTGCACGTCAGGGGCATCGGGGTGGCTCGGTGGACCGTGCGTGGCTGGCCACGGAGGCAGGCACTGGTGAGAACCTTGGCTTTGTGGTCTCCCCAGTGGACACCCCTGGGCAAACCGTTTCCTATTAATTTTACAGCTCGGAAGTGGGACTCCTACAGCTACCTTTCCCGGTGAACAAACTGAGGTTCCCAAACACTGGCGTGTACAAGATGCCCACAGGGCATGGGTGGTCACCAGAAGGCCATACCACTGTTACTGACCGCCCAGAACCCTCAGGAGCACTTCCTGGGCACTTACACTATTGCTCAACTGTGTTGCGTCTGGAGGTCAAGTCCTCGAGTGTGTGATCCCTCCGAGGAGTTTCTGCTGTCACACGGCCCCACTCGGCGCCTGTAGCAAGTTGTCCACCTCACCCGTGACCTGTGGCATCTGCTCTGAGTCAGCTGTGACTTGATTCACCATCTGCAGACTTCGGAGAGCCGCGGGCCCAGGGACCTCGCTTCCCTTCTGCGTCCAAGAAGCATCGCTGGTTTTTAGTCAGCACAGGTTTTCCTTGTTGACAGGGTAGCCGTATCAGCTTCTGGGCTCTTGTTCCAGCTGAAATGAGGCATCTCTGAGTATATTTTTGTATACTTGGGGTGCCCTGTTTTCTTCTTATTTAATAAGTCTTACCTTGATCCAACTCCCTTCTCATATTCTACCATAAGTAGAAAAAAAAAAAAAACCACCCAGGTGGTACCTTCCGCACGTCTCCGGCTCGGAAATCCCTTTAGCTAAATAACTGAGTTTATCAGTAACATTAGAAAAATCTTCGGCTTGGGGCAGAATACATGCTCACTGAGCGCTCCGAATTTCATAATAAAGGTGGCACTTCCGATGGGACAGTGGCAGCTGCTTCAGAGGTATCCTCTGCCCTGTGCCGCTCCAGTTTAATAATTAATAGGGGGCCTAAGACATCCGGCATAGAATCGCCAGCTTTACTAATACGCCGTACTTGTTCAATGGTAAAAATTGGCGCTCCAGACCTGGCGTGCTCACTGCAGGCCCATTTCTCAGCCCTGGAAGGGCAGCGTCTCACAGCCCCCATGTGGGGTCTGGGAGGCAAGTGGGAGGGAGAGGAGCAGCTTCATTGTCTCCTTCCTGCCACCCGCCACCCCCCCCGCAGGTCTGTCTCCTTCCAGACACCAGTGGGCTGTGTCCTTGCTTCTCCGCTGTGTATCTGCATCTCTGGGTCCCCGACATCTCCTTGGTGGCCCTTGAGTTTGAGCGATCGCTGGCCACCTGGGAGGAGTGCCACAGCGCCGTTCACAGAGGGCAGGTCCCCCTGCCTTCCCACCAGCAAGCAGGAAACCGACTTGGACTTGCTCTGGGCAAGTCCAAGACACAGCTTTCTGAAGTTAATTGCAGCCTCATCATTGGCCGCATTCGGCTACTGTTTGGGGTGTTTTAATAACTAAATTAGGAATGTGAAAACCCAGAGTGCTGCTCCTTGGCACCCGAGGGAAGAAGGGATGTCTGAGAGGAGCGATGGTCTCTCTGGGGACTTGCTCTGGGGCGAGGACTCAGTGATGTCACCGAGGGGCCACCCCTGCTGGGGGCTGATAAATAGAATTCCAGCAGCGATTCCCTTTTCTGACAGGCAGCCTTCCCCCTTGCTGGCCTCTCGCTGACTCAGTGGTCCGCCCCTCGCACCCCACTAAGCAGGACACAATGACATCTCTGCTCAGTCTTAGTATCCCGGTCTCTAACTCTCAGAGAATGGGGTCCTTTCGGTAAACTCACCCCCAGCCTTTACGTCAGAGGGCGGCCAAAGCCAAAAACAGATGCTTTTAACATGTGACACCAATGTGGACCGAAATGACAGCAGAATTCCCTGTCCTCCAGGGCAGACAAGCAGGACTGAGAGAGAAACACATCTGGGGTGGCCGAGGGTTTTTATTGTCAGCATCCACATCCATCGTATTTTTGAGAGCTGGCTGCATTTCCAGGCGGCGCTCACGGGCCGGCATCTCTGCTCAGTGTGCAGACACTCATGTTTCATGGTTTGCCACTGTGGCCTCCCGGGCGATTCTGGAATGCTCCGACGTCCCGGGATGTCCTGAGAAGGTCTCTGTGCCCCTGGGGGCTGCGACTGCATCTCCCACACTTGCAGGGACACCATGTCCTCCCGGCCAGCCTCACCAGTCTGATGGTTCCGCCACTTGGGACCATGGTTACGAGACAGCGGGTTATATAACCCCAGGCTAACCGTGCAGTAGTCAAAGACAGCTCTTGGCAAGCGGTGCCCAATTGGAAGTCTGTCCTAAGCACCCAGCTCTCTGGAGTCGGTCCATATTCCGTGGGAGACGCGTGTCATCGCGCCCGTGCCCAGGGCCTCCAGTGCGTCCCCCGGCTCTGCTCTGGGCTGACACTTAACTGTCCTGCTATTTCATTTCCTTACCCCCCTCTGGTCTGTGGGGTGTTCCCAATTGACAGCCCGATGGTTTCGCTTTTATTTTAAATGGTCTTCTCAAGGCATGTCCTAAAGAAAGGAAAAGAGAGGCTTTTTAAAATCTGTGGCAGGCAGGGATAGGCATAAATAGGACGCAGGAGGAGGCTGTTTCGGGATTTCTGCATCTTGTGGAAAATGGCAGGCACTGGGGCTAGAGGCCCTGGGTACGCCCACCCGGTTACCGCCCGAGCCGGAGCGAGTCCTGGCCGGGCAGTCTTCACAAGGCCGTTCTCATTGCCCTCGTGGGGATGCCAGAGTGCGGGTCGGCAGGCAGGGGGCTGCTCGGAGCTCATTGCTCGGCTTTCTGGCAAGGACGGCTGGCTGGGAGCAGGGGTGGGGGGGTGAGGTTCTGCCTGTGTTCTTCTGGCTGTTTCTGGCTCCACCAGCCTCAATTGTACCTGCAGACCCATGAGTTGATGGTTGGAGGCCTTTTTCCACACTCTGGGCATGTGGCAAGCCTGGAGCACCGTGGAATTCTTGTCCCTGGTGGCCTTTTTAAATGATGGACCCAGGGGGCTTGCAGGTCAATGCCCCAGCCCTGAGCCTAGGAGAGGATGCTGGGAGGCGCATCCTGCCCTTTCTCTTGGGGGCCCCTAGTGCCCACACTGAGACTAGACTTCGTGGGCTTCTTTCTTGGTTTCTGTCATGTGGGGCAGCCACACCAGCCGAGGCCCCAGCTGCATCCCAGCCAAGGGATCCCTCAGGCATTCGTGCGGAGGGGTCATCTCGTCCCAGCTGCACAGAGGGTGGCAGGGATGGTGATGGTGGAGGCCTGCACCTGGGAGGTGGGGCGCTCCCTGACAGCCAGCTTTTATTCAAACGTCCTGAGACCACCTCCCCCCAAGCACCTGGCTTCGCTTGTCTCCCTCGCTCCTTTGCTGGGCCCAGACTTGCACTTTGGGCTTCCCGGGCACATTCTCTGTTCTCCCTAATGCAGCATTTTCCCCAATCAGGTATTTGCTCTAATCAAGTCCCCTCCTGTGAGAGAGACACATCGATTTGCTTTTTCTCCACTTACCATCGGTTGATTCTTGCATATGCCCTGATGGGGGATCAAACCCAGAACCTTGGCGTATTTGGACGATGCTCCAACCAACTGAGCTGCCTGGCCAGGCCAAGTTTTGTCACGGTATCAAATCACATAATGATCAGGACTAGAAGGGGTCTCAGAGGGGACGTGGCCCACACACTCAGGTTTTATCTGGCAGGTGAGAGAAACGGGTCCCCCTCTCAGTGGAGAGGTCCAGGCAGGAGCAGGTAACGACTGGGAATGACAACAGATCTCGACACTGTGTGTTGCAGAAGGAACCGTTCCAAACAGAGGACACAGACATAATCGGAATGGACAGCTCTCTTGCAGCCGTGTTGACAAACACCGGCAGAGGAAGTGGGGCGTCCCTGGGGTGTGGGAGCTGGGGGCCCACAGCTCCTCACGGGGCATGTGGCCGAGTCTGGAGTCCACACAGGCCACCGCTGAACAACCCCTTTCCAAGTGCATTTGGAAGCTGCCGTGCGTGACACTGTCAAAGAAATCAGTGTCCCTTTTCAGTCAGTGCGTGTCCGGAGCTCACCCACTGTCCTGTAAGGCCGTGTGAGTTGCTCTGACATTTGAAGGGGGGGGTAGTTAAAAATGAGGACATTTCATGAAATGGTGATCCGTTCCGTTCCCCTGCCTTAGACGCACGGTGCCATTGTGATTATATGGACCCCTTCCGATGGCCTTTCTCCCTGACAGATGGAATCCCAAGTCATAACCCCGTGGTATGGGTCTGATGTATGTGCCATTCCTGAAAACAGATGAGAGCCTTTTTATTTACTTTTTAAATGTTTTATTTATTTATTTTTAGAGAGAGGGGAAGGGAAGAAATATCAATGTGTGGTTGCCTCTGTTGCGTCCCCTACTGGGGACCTGGCCCACAACCCAGGAATGTGCCCTGACTAGGAATTGAACTGGTAACCCTTTGGCTCCCAGGCTGGTGCTCAGTCCACTGAGCCACACCAGCCAGGGCAGGAGTCTTTTTAATTGATTGTGTAGAGTCACTTCCATGTACCAAGCTACTACATCTAAAATTCTGCAACACGTTCACAGGACAAAGTCCGTTCTCCAGGTTTTACTGTTTTTAAGTAGGCGTTAAATTTGGGCTGGGTGAATCCAACAGAGGGGCACGGACTGTCGCTACTTCTTTTCTTTGCTGCTTTTTCTCTAACATCCTTCATGGCCCCTTCTCAATGCCAACTCAAATGGTCCTTCTGACTGCCCCACGCACCTTCCCTGGGCCTGATTCTGCACTTCAGGCAGGCTGCCCTCAGATGCAGCCCTGGCTGGTGTAGCTCAGTGGATTGAGCGTGGGCCTGTGAACCAAAGGGTCCTGGTTCGATTCCCAGTCAGGGCACATGCCTGGGTTGCAGCTGGGTCTCCAGTAGGGGGCATGCAAGAGACAACCACACATGGATGTTTCTCTTTCTTTCTCCTTCCCTTCCCCATTCTCTAAAAATAAATACATAAAATCATTTTTAAAAAACCCAAACCCACATGCATCCTTGGCTAGGTAGCCTAGCTGGTTAGAGCATCACTAGAGCATCATCCTGCTATACCAAGGTTGCAGGTTCGATGCCCACTCACAAACTGATGTTTCTCTTTCTCCCTTCCTCCCTCTTTCCCTCCCCTTCTCTCTGAAATCAGTAAATAAATACAAAAAATAAAATTAAAAAAACCCAGATGCAGGCCTCGTTCCTCAACAGAGCCCGCACACACCGCCGGGCAGTCCTGTGGACTCCCCGACACACTGGTGCCCGAGGAGTGCAAATATCAAACACGATATTTGATAGTCGGTGCATCTGCCTGGGTCAAGTACGACTTCAAAGTTAAAGAATCCTCTTGAAGTAATTGCCACGATCCTGAAGTATTTCAGCACAGAGACATGAAAAGTTGCTCAACGTCACACACACACACACACACACACACACACACACACACGCTTTACGGGAAAATCAATGCATTATTTCACTTTAAAAAGTCACAGATGCCCTATCTTTGATATTGGTGGCATCTGGCTGGACTCCTAGTCCCGTTATGGTTTTGAATTATATTCTAAAGCATTATTAATTTAGAAAAAAAATCCGAGCCGGGCTTCTTTTTTTCCCTTGCGTGCTCTGTGATGAAGTGGGTGGCTAAGCCACTGGACATTGCAAAGACAACCAAGCTCCCGGAGAGGAAAAAAAATGTTTTTAAGCCGTTTGGTATAATAAGGACCTCATGGATCATGACAAAATGCACGTCACGTAAAATCTGCCGTTTTAAACATTTTATAGGGTCCAATCAGTGGTACTAGGTGCCACTGGATTGCACAGTAGGCGCCTCTAGCCTTTGTTCTGGGGCTTTTTCATCTCGCCAGCTGGAGATGGACCCCGTGCTTCTAATCACAGAGATCTTCCTTTTTAGGTTGCAAGGATGCTGGAGACAGTGTATGTGCCGTGCGGAGGACTCGGGGGCAGCCTCGGCGGTCATTCCAAGGAGAGCAGGCAAGGACGATGTGAGGATGTACACAGTGAGATGTGTGAGGGACAGGATCTCAGGTGGACAGAGGCTTGCCTGTCTGGGTGTGGGGCCCAGCTCCCTGACCACTTGGAAAATGAAGTCCATCTCCACCAGCAGCTGCAGTTAATGTCTGATGCAGGACTCGAAGCGGGAACCTCGCTGCTCCCACAGTCACCAACACGGCTGCTTAGCGATCACAGGTTTTGATACTACTTCCCTCCGAGTCCTCTGTGGTCCGCACCACGGCTCAGAGGTTCCCCCGGTTTTCACTCTGCTGCTCTGCCATCTGGGCCTGTGGCTTCCAGGGGTCGCCGCAGCTGGGAGACAGAAAGCCAGGGCTGCCCAGAGCCTTCGTGGGAGTTGTCGTTTTTCTGCGCCCAGAAGAAAAGCCACCAGATATTAGTGAACTTGAGTGAGAGTTTCTATCACATGCATTTAAACGTGAGCCGGGGCCCTGCTTGCTTAACAATGTCACACCTGGTTGCGTGTGGGCATGTGCAGTCACCGTGGTGTTAGCAATGCCAGCGTGCAGAGCCGCCCCTCCGAGGAGGGGACTGGGACGTGCCCATGCACCGGGCGCCCCAGTGAAAGCCAAGTGCAGGAGCAGAGCTGGGCTTCGCCTGGAGGAGTGAGGAGGATACGAAAGAGGAGGGGAGTGACACAGGGGACTCTGAGCCATCAGCTTCTCTGAACTGGAGCGACGCAGGCAGGATTCTCCCAGCCGCCCCCGCACACCGGGCAGGGCAGCCTTCTTCTGGCAAAAGCGCTCCGTGGAGAAAAAGCAGGTTGGCTGCGTGAAGGCCCGACTGCGGAACTTGGACTTGACTTCACGGTTCCTGTGCAGCAATTGTTTCAACGGCCCCCGGCTCTTAGGGGGAAGGGAGAGCATGCTGTTTGGTCTCTGCAGAACCAATTTCACCCTCTGTTGGGATTTGCCGACTCAGCTTCAGAAGCGGTTTTTCTCATGTTTCCAAAGTTTCAAAGGCAAGTGCTCCGGAGGGAGTTGGCTGCCGTGGGTTTTCTAAGACCAGCTACCCAAGGAATTCACGCTACCCTGTGAGGCGATGCTGCCCCCCAGGAAAGGTGCGGGAAAGCCAGGGGCGGGCTGGCTGTCAGTGTGCGTGAGGCAGAGGTTCATGCCCCCACGCGGGACCAGCATCGTCAACGGAATGGGGACCCCAGGCCTGTCCTCCGGCCTGGGTCTCTTCTCCTGTCGGGGGCGGGACTTGGATTGGTGCCAGCGGACCACCATCCCCGATCACACTGCCCGTGACCGTGTACATGATACCTTTGAAAATTTACCAAACACCGTATGCTAAAGAAATTTCCTCTTTCCAAGAACGACCTGCCTGCATTTTCAAAGCAAGCACATGAGCAGAATACCAGGAGTCACCGTTGAGTTGTCCTGTTTATTCAGGTGGACACAAAGCAAGGTGCCAAGACCATGTACGTGGTTAAATTAAGGCACACTCGGTGGTTTTGACTTTTCACACTGGCTTGGTTAACAACCTGTAGGGTCTAGATGAAGTTGTAAAAGGGCCGCCCGGGCTAGTCCTAAAGAAAACAGTACAAGAAGTACCACTTGGGTGACCCTTTTCCCTGGCACGGCGTGTCCCTGCCTGTCTCAGGTGAGGCTGACATGGGTGAGGGTTCAAAGATTCTCTGACCAGGTCATGCAGGTGTATGAACACATGGACCCGCACCCAAGCCCACGGCCGCTCACGCGGTATGAGGGGCAGCGGGTGGTCCCGTGGCCCACAGGTTTCCGGGGAGAACTCCTTCACCTGTCTTAGTCACAAGGAAGGATAAACAAGTGGCAGCATTTTTATTGAGAAGGGGTTTTTTATGGAAGGAAAATGGAGAGGAAAAGAACGTTGATTCACCAAGATTTCTCCTCTGAAGCTCTAGAAGCCAGAGGGTGGAAAGAAGAGAGATGCAACGTGAGCATTCTGTTTTCAAAGGGGATGCCCTCCAAGAATGCCGGGAAATGAAGACATTGTGGGAAACCAAAGGGGTGTGTCACCAGGAAATCGACCTGAGAGACGGGCTCTGGAAGTTTCCTAAACAGGAAGGAGACGGAACAAAAGGAGGTGCCTCGCTGGGCAAGCACCCTGGGGAGCGGCAGGTGCCTCTCTCCTCGGGAGCGCTCCAGAATCACGTCTGATGGTTAAAGCAAAAATCCCGGCGCTGTGGGACGCGGTATTAGTGCCTGTGGGGGCGGCAATGCCGGCAGAGTGTGGGCACCGCGTGAGGGACCTTTATAAGGGACGTGGTCCTCCCAGGGGACTCCATTCTTGTGCCTGTGGGAAGTCCTGGGACGATACTGGAACCCCCAGAACAACCTCCGAGGAAACTATTAGAAATACTGTATACAAATAGACAAGGACTCAACGGAGACGTGATCTTAAAAAAATGTCTGTCTAACCCACAGGGAGGTAAGGACAGAGGAATGAGAAGGACACACAGAGCAGACAATAAAATGGCATCTAGACCCCTAACCTGTCGGCAACTACCTTCAACTTCAGTGGTCTTCATCCACTCACGAAAAGGCAGAGACTGGCAAGTGGACGGGAAACACTGTTTACGGAAAGAAAAAGCAGGGAAGGAAATGTAGAGAATGATGCCATGAATGTAAAGAACGCAAACCCTACCGCGTGGTCAAGGAAGCGGTGAAGCCATAGCCTTGGATGGAGGGGTGCGTGGCAGGGGAGGGGCCCACCTGGGCAAGGGGGCGGGCACATCAGGTGGAGAGCAGGGGGGTTCAGCTTTATCTGCGTGATGTCATCTCCTTAAAAGAATCTGAAGCCAACATGACAATGATAATACTGGATAAACATTGGGTAGGATGCCTTTTATCAACCGGCCTTTTCCATGTGTTCGAAATAACTTACAGTGAAGAGCTGTAAGATGGTGATTGCATTGCAGAGTCTTTAGAGACCACCAGGGGGAGTCCTGAGTTATTTCCGTCCAGTTGGACCAATGAGGCCCCTCCACAGCTGTAGGCAGACCGGGTGCTCTCTGTGGGGAAACCATTACTTTTAATCAAGTGTACAGAAAAATGTAAAGTCAAGGAACATCACATGTATGTTTTAATTATACTTTTATTGATTATGCTGTTACAGGTGTCCTGGCTTTTCCCCCTTTGCCCCCCTCCACCCAGCACCCCCCCTTAGACCATCCCCCCACCATTGTTCATATCCATGGGTCATGTGTAAGTTCTTTGGCTGCTCCATTTCCTACACTGCACTTTATAAGCCCATGGCTATTCTGTAACTACCTATTTGTACCTCTCAATCCCCTCTTCACCCCTCCCCCACACTCCCCTCCAACCATCAAAAGGCTCTCTGTATCCAGGATTCTCTGACCTTCTTGTTTGCTTAGTTTTTGTTTTAGATTCAATCATTGATAGATACGTATTTTTGCCATTTTATTGTTCATAGTTTTTATCTTTTTCTTAAATAAGTCTCCTTAACATTTCATATAATAATGGCTTTATGGTGATGAACTCCTTTCATTTTTTCTTGTCTGGGAGGATCTTTATCTGCCCTTCGATTCCAAGTGATATCTTTTCTGGGTAGAGCAATCTTGGCTGTAGGACCCTGCTTTTCATGACTTCGCATATTTCTTGCCAGTCCCCTCCAGCCTGCAAAGTTTCTTTTGAAAAATCTGCTGACAGTCTTATGGGATCTCCCCTGTAGGTCACTAACTGCTTTTCTCTCCCTGCTTTTAAGATTCTCTCTTTATCTTTAACCCTTGGCATTTTAATTATGAAGGAACATTATACTTAAACGGGATTACTCCAGTTCTACACACCAGTCCCGTGGAGGGTTGTTCTTAAATGAGGTGTGGGGCCAGACCATAATTCACATCTTGATTTTTTAATGTGCTTGGTTTCTGGGGAGAACCGCACTCTGGCGTTTAGCTGCAGCGGCAGGAGCAAACCCGTGCACAGAGAGCTCTGGCTTTGCCTGGTCTGCAGATGCAGAGGTTAACTTGAGTGCTTGGAGAGCGTGAAGAAGTGGGACAGGAATCTAAAGATCAGCACACTCCTATACGCCCCCTCCCTGGCTTTGTCCCCAGCCACACCGTGCCCTCTCCTCAATTACATTCAAGGAGCATGGGCCTTCTACTATCGATTCTTTTCCTTCACGGTAGTCTCTACTACAAAGGCTCGTGAGAGCTGAGTTAGCAAACGCCAAATCATTGCTCCTAGCAGAAAGGTGGGGTTAGGTTCCCACCCACCTGTGGTCACGATGGTTTCATTAGCTAATCAGCACATAGCCTGTTCCTCTGACGTGTGGGTTTATTTAAAGACACCATGACGGATTTGTACTGTGGGTTCACTAACTTTGACTCATGGCCAACAGCACTGTAATTGACTCCTGAAGGAAGCTCACTTGACATGAGAATTTTCTCCATAAGCCACATGAGTCTCCTGTGCTCAGGGAGAGTAGGCCGCCCCTCAGCACTGAGCTGGGGGGCCCCTTTCAGCAGCGAAATCACCAACAAAAGGCACAAGAATGAGAGAGACTGGCACTGCATAGGCTGTGAGAGCTGAGATGAGGGGGCAGGGCGCCCCTGGTCGGCCTCAGCCGCAGACGTGCACAGTGGCACCACTTGGCGTGTGTTTGTGAGTGACAGCAAAAGTGTGGGGAGTACTGCCTTGAAGTTACAAGTGGATTTGAGCAAGTAGGTGAATTTGAAGATGTTGAATTCACAAACAGTGAGGATGGAAACAAAACCAGCTTTGGTCTCGTGACCTGTGGGAATAGTGTGTGTGTGTTGGGAGGGTATATGCACACATTTGGTGTGTGAAGTGTGTGTGCAGTGAGTGCACGTGTGTGGCATGTACGTGTGACATGTGTGCATGTGCCTGTGTGCGTGTGGTATGTATTGTGTGCTCAAGCATGCACGTGTGGTGCATATTTGGGGGTGTGGGTATGTGCATGCTTGGTGTGTTGCTTGTGTACATGTGCGTGATGTGTTTGTGTGCATGTGTGTGCTGTATTTACACGTGTGTACATGTGGTATGGGGGTGTGCAGCTGGGTGTGGATACAGGAGCACATGCAGATGCTGATAAGTCAAACTTAAGAAGCAGAGCTTCCTCCTAGGTGCCGGGAGCCATGCATTTGGGGGTCTTTGCCCAGGGCCTCTGTCCTCTCTGGTCTGAGGACAAAGACTGCATGCTCTCCAAGCCCAGGGTCACCTGTCCATTCCCTGCACGGACCACACACTATCCTGGGAAGCTCTTCTTCACTGTCCCCACCGCTGCCCCGTCCTCACCTTCCTCACTGTCACCTGGCACACCAAACCATGCTCCTCAAAGCGGCCTTATAAATTGGGTTGATCTTCACCCATGATGCTCTGGCATGATAACTCACATGTTTTCTTGAGAACAGTAACAGGATTAACCTTTGGAAGTTTGATTTTGTACCCCTGCCACCTGCAATACCTCCTGCCACACAGTAGGTCAGGATGAGTTTGCTGAATGAGTTCCTGGCTGAGTGAACCCCTGAGGTGGCCCAGGCTGGCCCTGGCCACTCAGATGGACCCTCTCCTGGCTGCCAGCACGGGGAGCAGCAGTCAGCCTGGCCAGCTGTCCTTCTGTAACGGGGACTGGCTTTCCAGATGGCGTCGGACACACGTGAGTTACCAACAAAGTGAGGACCCCAAGTACCTGTCGCGACGGTTCTCAAAGGTGGTCAGGGATCCACAGGGCAGTCTGAGACAGAGCTGTGATGTGAGCACCCCAGGATGGTGGCTTCTGTGACTCTTTGTCACTGATGGACCCCATTCTCCACCCACCTCCTGGCATGGAGCATGCTCAGTAGTATCTGCTGAGTGAACGGTGACTAACAAGGCCTGTCCCCCTCGACCCGGTCAATATTAAACTCAGGGCAAGAATTGGCGTACCCTCCACACCGCTTTCCACAGGGGCTGCACCAGTCTGCATTTCCCCCAACAGGGCACGAGGGCCCCCCATCCCCACATGCTCGCTAGCCAGGGCTTGTTGTTTGCTGATTTGTTGGTAATGGCCATCCCGACAGGTGTGAGGTGGTATCTCATTGTAGTTTTAATTTGCATCTCTCTGATGATTGGTGATGTTGAGCATCTTTTCCTATGTCTGTTGGCCCTCTGTGTGTCCTCTTTGGAGAAGTGTCCATTCAGGCCCTCTGACCATTTTTTAAACTAGGTTATTTGGGTTTTGTGATGTTGAGTTGAATGAGTTCTTTCTAAATCTTGGCCATGAACCCCTTATTCGGTGTACCATTGGCAGAACACCTTCTTCTACTCAGTAGGTCGTCTTTTTGTTTTGTTGATGGTTTCCTTCGCTGTGCAAAAACTTTAGGCCATTGAAGTCCTATTGGTTTGCTTTTCTTTTGTTTCCCTTGCCAGGTAGGAGAAGAGTTGGGGGATGGACAAAAAAGGGTGAAGGGATTTAGAAGTACAAATCGCAGTTGCTAAAATAGTCACGGGGATGTAGAGTATAGCATAGGGAGTACAGTCAGTAATTGTAATAAGCGTGTGTGCTGCCAGCCGGACACTGGAATTATTGGGAGAATCACTTCACAAATTATCTTCCTCACCACAATGCTGCACACCTGAAACTCATATAAACTAATATTGAATGTTAACTATAATTAAATTTTTTAATGTTTTAAATCGAGATACCCTAATTTCTAATCCAACACTTTGCTACTGTCCCTCACTCTCCCCTCAGACTTCATTCTCATTATTCTCCTCACAGGAAACACTAATGGGCTTTACTTCCCCCCCGCCAATTCCTTCATTAAATTGCTGTTTGGCCAAGTTGTTATTTTTTTCATTGATTTTTCTTAAAGTTATGACGGCTTTAAAACTAAAATTAACTGCATTTTTTTCTTATTTTAAGAGCAAATGAGGACCTGGAATAATTTTTATTGATGAATCAAACTTAAAAAGGGGGAGTAAGAATTTTTTTAATTGAATAAGAATGCTTTTGACCCATTTCATTGAATTATAACAATTTTCAACCTTTTTTTAAAACCTGGTTGTTATAGATTTTTCCCTACATTATAAGAGATTACATGCCATATTAGATGTTTAAAAGCCAAAAAATACATAATCCATCATGGTTTGTGTCAGATAATTTTATAATAGAAAGGAATAATGGGCAAAGGGGGATATGTTAGTAATACGATGTGTTTTCTTAAACATAGGCGGAATTAGATTTAGGGCTACAGTAATCCTGAATGAATCTTTTTCTCATCCCTGACTTACAGAAATGCGTTCCCCATGGACTGTCTGTCTGTACTCAGTGTTGCTGAAATGTCAATGCCATTTTCCTCCCATTTCTTTATCCTCGTTCTGGTTTTTCTGCATTTAGGGGAGAAGCACCCTCTCACTCCTGTATCCCTTCTCCTGTCTCCTCGATCCCCACTCCTGGCTCCTTCATTGTTTCGGAGGAAGGGAAACCTGCAAAGATGGGAGGTTTTTCTTTAAAATGTAGGCTAGTGTGAGAACGTGGCAGGCCCGGGAACACTGCAGGTGTGTGGCGTGTCTCCTCGCTGAGAGCAGATGCTGGCAGGGTGACTCTGCTGTGAGTGCCCACACGCGCCCATGTGGGAAGGGGGCCGGGCCCTGGGGCACAGGGGACGAGGGAAGTGAGCCTCAGGGGCAGACCATGCCGAAAACTTTCTGTGCAGGGGACGCGGAGGGGCGGCTGCGGTTCTCTGCCCAGGAACCTCTCCCCCACGGCCTGAAATTCCTCCGTGAGAGATGTACATCTTTGCAGTTTGAAAGATGACAAGGACTAAACCACATCTTCCAGGGAGGATGTCAGGTACCATAGTAGGTGCGCATCTGATGATCTCATTGCTGCTCCTTCTCAGATGGAAAATGTATAAACAGGTGATGGGAACAAAATGTGGGTCCCCAGTGCCCAGACAGGGGGCGCACCAGGAGACCCAGACTAGTCCCCAGGAACATAAATGGGTGCCAGCCATGTAAATGGGTGTTTTGGGTACATCTACGATTTCTGTGTTGGGCCGCATTCACAGCCGTCCTGGGCCACCATACCCCTAGTTCTAACCAGGGGCGTCAAACTCATTTTCACCGGGGGCCACATCAGCCTTGCGGTTGCCTTCAAAGGGCCGCATGTAATTTCAACTCCTTAACAGTTACGCAGTAGTTACATTTACGCAGCCCTAAAATTATTTTCACCCTTTGAAGGCAACCGCGAGGCTGATGTTAGCTGTGGTGAAAATGAGTTTGACAGCCCTGCTCTAAACCGTGTGAAGGAAAGTAAAGAAACAAAGGAAAGCAGTCTAAGCTTGAAGATTTGATTCCTCTGCCTGAGCTCGGCTCTCACAGCCCCAGGGGCTCCTGCCCAGTTTCCAGAACATCACCTGGTAGCGGTTCAACCCGCCTATGCGCCGACTGAGTTGCCGACACATTTGCTGTCACCCTTCGCATTTGCTGTCTTCCACTTTGTTTTGTTTTCATTTCTTGGAGCAGCAACTCTCTGCTCTTGGGCATTTCATGATGCTCATCCTCATCCTCGTTATCGTCACTTCTGCCTTGTTCCTTAGGAGTTGCGTTCCGGCCCCGCCCCTGTCCCCTTCAGGGTGCACGTGTAAGGACAGATTATCCCGGGACCAGGCCGCCCTGCTCGGGTTTGGGCACATCCTACTCTTCCCACGGGTTTCCCAAGTTTCCCAGTGGTAACGGGGGTCCAGGCAGGGGATTCGGTGTCCGTAGTGAATGCACACTGTGCGAGCATTAGCCGGGGTCAGCGCACTGGTTTTGTGAAGGTGCCTCGCCGAGGTTTGTTTGCCTGTGTTTATATCACAAACTCCTGTGCATCGCAAACGTGTGTGCCATCTAACGTGTGCACCATCTAACTTCAGTGAGAAAGAGGTGGTCTGATCCTGCCCGATTCCACTTTGTGAGTGGAGATTCCGGGGTCCGCGTGACTGGAGTGCACTGCCCCCTGCTAGGACGTCCCCCATGGGGTGAGGACGGGCTGTAAACATAGCAGTGCAAAGGAAATGTCTCCTGAGACCCCACATGCCCGCTCTAATGAGGACTTTCAAAAACTTGACCTTTGCTGCTACAGATCCCAAGTGTGCGAAGTCACCTGCTCTCTAAAATACATCGGTGACCCCGAAATCAGTTCTTCCGGTGCCTTTGTGGTCGCTCACTGACGTACACTGAGGTGTATGGACGGGGTGTTCGAGGAGGGTTGGCGGGTCATTACCAGCCAAGGCCAAGCAAGCTGACACTGGCCCTCTTGTTGGAGCTCATGCGTCATGAACAAGGGTCCTTGCTGTGGTCTGTTTGGCAACATTTTTCTGCATTTTTTTTGTGCTCTTTGTTGCCAATTCTGTTGTTTAAAACGGCCCCCAAGCAGAGGGCTGAGCTGCTTCCTTGCACTCTGACCTCAGGAAGGCACGATGCTTTTTACTTTGGAAACAGTATGTGCCTGACAAACGTCATTCAGGCCGAGTTCTGGTGGTGCTGGCGAGTTCAGTGTCCATGATTCAAACAAATGTCTGTGAAATAAGATTCCTTTAAACAGGAGCCCATTGAAAGAGGCAGTGATGGTTGATTACATGGGTGATGCTATGACCAGAGTCTCACAGGAACCTGACCTCGTGTTTTGCACAGGAAAAATGATTCAGCACTCACGAAGACTTTCTACAATGTAACTTAGGAATAACGAGATGCGGTTGTACCTTCATTTGAGTGCCTTAAAGTCTACATTTCGCTTTCCTGTGTTTTCCCCTTACAGTCGACATACCATTGTGTATCAGCCTTGGGTATACCGCACAGTGGTCAGACACTCATGGAACAAGGTGTCCCCCCTCAGTAAGTCTGGGACCCCTGGGACACCATCCACACTTAGTACAATATTACTGACTGTTCCCCTGCTGGACTTTGCGTCCCCGTGACTGTTCTGTGAGTGCAGATCTGTGCTTCTCAATCCCTTCCCCTTTCTCTTCTGCCCCCCACCACCCTCCCCTCTGTCAGCCATCAATTTGTTCTGTGCCTACGAGTTTGTTTCTGTGTTGTTTGCTTGTTTCTTTCATTTTTCTAGATTCTACATATAAGTGAAATCATATGGTACTTGTCTTTCTCTGGCGGATTTATTTCACTTAGTGCAATACCTTCCAGGTCCATCCACATCGTCACAAACGGTAAGATTTCACTCTTTTTATGGCCGAGTCACGTTGGATTGTGAACACGTGCCGCCTCCGCTTTACCTGCCGGCCTATCGGTAAGCCCCTGGGCTGCTTCCGTATCTGGGCGATATTATAAATATCACTGCACTAAACATCGGGGCACATATATCTTTCTGAATTCGTATTTTGGGTTTATTCCAACAAATCCCCAGAAGTGGAATAGCTGGGCCGTGAGGTCATTTGAGTTTTAATTTTTTGAGGAGCCTTTAGGCAGTTTTTCATCATGGCTACGCTAATTTGTATTCCTACCCACAGCCATCTGCCTTTTTGGTTTGGCTTAAATATTTAATTCCCTGGGCATGGATATGTGTGTGTGTGTATGTGTGTGCGTGTGCGTGTGTGTGTGTGTGTGTGTTTGCAATAAAAGAAATAACTAGACTCATTCTCCCAAATTGCTATGGATTATTTAATCAGCACATATTTCTAAAGCTGCTAGTTTGCATCAGCATTTTCTTACGTTCTTTGGAGAACATGCAAATACAAAGTATTCATCACCCTGACTCCAAAAAGTGCTTTGAGACTCTGGGTCCATTATGCACAAAAATCTAAGGACTATAACATTGTAACAGAGCTGAGCTCTGCAGACCAAATGGCCAAGCCGAGGTCGACTTGGAGGACGTGGGACTGGAGATGGCCGGAGTTTATCAAGAGGGCAGTTTATTTGGGGAAGAACCTATGACAACAGGTACATGGTAAACATTGGGGGAAGTAAAGAAGAAGACAGTAGACTTATAATATATACAATATTTCAGAGTAATATGATGCAATTTAAAGCTAGTCGGAAAGATTGCGAAGTTATTGCCACATTGTAACTATCTCACTGTGATTCGAATGCTTTGCCTAAAACAATCTCTGGTGTCTGCAGGGCACATGGTTACATGGAACGACCTTTATGTTGAAACAGCCTTGGACATTGAAATGTACTTTTAAATAAAATACTGGAAGTTTTAAATTGGTTTTAAATTGTGTTTAGGTAAAATAATGGCAGCGTCTTTATTTCTTAATAACCGGACAGGTTCTGTGGAAGCCAGGCTTAGCAGCTGTCTTGTTTATGGGTGATATTTATATAAAAGCAAATTTAAAAAAAAAGAAAACCACAGAGCTCAGGGGAGTACAACCTTTCTTCTTCTTCTACTATTTTTTTTTCTAATCTTCACCCGAGGTTGTGTTTATTGAGAGAGAGGGGAAGGGAGAGAGAGACATTGATCAGTTGCCTCCTGAACATGCAGCAACCAGGGACTGAACCTGCAAATTTCGGGTGCACTGGATGATGCTCCAACCCACCGAGCCACCTGGCCAGGGCTCCGGCCTGTCTTGACCATGTGCCGCCTGCCGTGAAGGAAAGAACTGCCTCTTGTGTACAGATGGTCACGGCGGAAGGGCACGTGCTAGAGGAAGGTGGGTGGTGAGCGACTGTGTCCGAGGGCCAGGCTCTGCAGAGGTGGAGACAGAACCAGCCACAGGGTCCCCTGACTCCTCAGGGGAGGGGAAAGGCATGCCTGCCGTGGCTTTTGCTGAGGTGTATAAGCACTGCCCTTCGGCAAGGATGGCGGAGACTATTTTAACCTTCTCTGAGCTCTGAGATTTCATTTCAGGTTCCCTTTCTGCGTTTGCACAGCTCTTTAGATTCAGAGACAAGACTGGCCTCCCAGGTCCTGCTTCACACTGAAGCATCTTTTGTGTGCCCTTCCAGAATGTTCCTGGCACCCAGGCGCAGCGTCAGGCCCATGTATTCTTAAACTGCATCGATTTAGCCTTTACTCTGATGGTACTCAAGTCTCGCTCCGACCTGAGACCTCTTATCTCCGCAGTGACTTTGCATAGGTCCTCGCTAGGCTGATTTTAGAGCTTAACTCTCAGAGGACATATTTTTATTCCTTGTCTATTAGTCAGCTCATGTTGCCATCACAGAACACTACAGACGGGGGTACCTTAAACAGCAGGGAGGTGTTTCTCACCGTTCTGGAGGCTGGAAGTCTGAGATCCAGGTGCCAGCTGATTCAGGACCCTCCTCCTGGCGTTCAGACGGGAGCTTCTCTCTGGGTCCTCACCTGGCAGAGAGAGAGCGTGTATAAGCGCCCAGCTGCCTCTTCCTGTAAGGGCACTAACCTCATTACTTGGTGCCCCACACTTGTGATTTCTTCTAACCCTAATCAATCATCTCCCAAAGGCCCCATCTCCAAATTCCAACACCTCGGGGTTAGGCCTTCAACACATGGATGTTGGTGGTGGGGCGGGGGCCGCAGTGCAGTCCGTAGCCCCACATAACTTGAAGGTACCAGGTATCAACTCTAATATCCAGGGTTGGAGATCAGCTGTTTGGGCAATCCTAAACAGTATCAAGTTTTACTTCTAGTCTATGCTATTTTTCTAAAGTACATGTTGATACTTTGTCAAGGCAAGCTGCCAGTTAGTCGTAGCTGTTAATAATTAGTCGTAGCTGTTAATAATTGAAACAAGACGCCATGGAATTACCTCAGACTCTCCACCTGCAACACCCATCAAGTAGACATTTTGCTACAATGTATCCTGACTTGCCACCGGCGGGGTTGCTGGTGGGTTTTTCTTTCTTGGGGTTTTCACAGCAACTAATCCAGAGTCAGGAAGGTCCACAAAAGTCTGGGCTTGACAATGTGCGAGTTCATTCCAATGCATCCTTGACCACTGCCCACTTCATGTCCCGTCTCTACCATTTACCCCAGAAAGGCCATGGCTAAGCTACCAGCAAGCAGCATTCTCGTAACGAGGCGCTGGCCGCCCCTTCCCCCACGCTTGAGAGTAGAAGTTGAGAGTTGGGTGTTGGGGAGAGGAAGGAGTCACGGCCCCTCAGGGACGCCCCATCATAATAAGACTGACATCCCAAGGGATGGCTGCAGAGTCAGCGACATCTTCCATCTGAGCCAACACTGAAACCCCGGTATTGTGACACAGTTACAAAGACGAACGGTCCACTCTGCGGTCATTTATGCGGTCCTGGAGGTCTCGCTTGCTCTTCTTCGACATGGGAGTCTTCCCCAGAAGACACAGGTAGGGGTCACCCTCTTCCCTACGGTCTGGGGACAGGTGTCGAGCTGGAAATCAGCTCTGCGACTTTGATGAGTAGACTTGAAATGTTGACATACATGTGGAAGCCACCCAGTCCACAGGGTTCTCTAGACAGATAGCAAGGGAGCGTGGCCACGTTGGAGAACTGTGTCCCTAGAAATGCACAGAGGAGACCGCCCGAGCGGACGGTGAGGGGCAGGCCAAGGCTGCGAGGAGGAAGAGCCCTGGCTTTCCCTCCCTTCACTTCCCCTGTGGGAGAACAGGAAGTGATGGGGGGGAGGGAGGTTCCCCTGCCTGGTCTGTCTGTGGCTTCTTTCATGTCTCCCCATTCTGCCTCCTTAGGAAACGGGGTTCATTTATTGCCGTGTGAAAGGCAAGGCTCCCGGCCCACCAGTCCAGGCATCGGCCACCCCAAGGTTTGGGATCTGGGTGATCTTTGGCTGGAAAACTCAGAGGGGCTCTGGTTTGGACGCTGAGCCGCCCCCCCCCCCCGTCACTCCCCCAAAGTTGATTTTTAACTCATATGTTGGTGAGTTTACGAGGGAGCGTCGGCTTTTTTGCTGTGCCGAGAGCAGAACTGTGAAGTGGGAACACTTCTGGGTCCTTTCTCCTGGGGCCTTTCAGCGGAGCGCTCGCCCTTGTCGGAGGTGTGAACCCTGGACAGTCGGGTGAAGTCTACACACCCCGTTAAGAACATGCGTTTCAATGAAAAAAGAAGAAGACACCTATGGGACCAGAAAGGAAATGAAGCGTATTGAAATGGCAGGGATCTCACGTGTAAAACCAACTCCCGGCACTAGTAATGTGTGATTTTTCAAATTAAAGTGTTGTGGGTGATAGTTTCCGAGTCATGCTGAGAGTTAAGGATGAGGTACTTGCGATGACCATCTCATGCGAGATGGATTTATCGGTGATTTCTGACAGTGGCGGACCTAACCCAGTGATGGCGGTTGAGTAGATTCATAACACGGAGGCAAATGCTGACTCTCAGCGGTGAGGGAAACTCAAGGCACAGCCTTTCCCCCACTTTCTCCCCCGGGACCCCTCTTTCCGGCCTCGAGCATGGAGTGGCCGTCCCCTCCTCTCAAATGTACACCCCGACCTAACCTACAGGGTAACGTGAGCCCACATACTGGGTGATTTTTTTGTGCAACCTTTTTAATATTGAAGATAGACAAAAATAAGTAGAATTTTCAGCACACGAGGCTTCGTTATTTTGAGAAAGGTAAAAACGCAACTGCAACACACACAAAAAAGAGGTGCGCCATGTGTGGAGAAGGGGCTGCGACTGGTCATACGTGTCAGAGGTGGTTTGTGAGGTTTCACGCTGGAGATTTCTCACTGGATGGTGCTCCCCAGTTGGGTGGACCAGTTGAAGTTGTTCGCGGTCCAAGTGAGACATTAATTGAGAACAATCAACGTTATACCATGCAGGAGAGAACTCGTGTACTCAAAATACCCAAATCCATAAAATTTTTGGTGAAAGTAAAAAATGTCTTTTACTTTACAAAAAAAAAACAAAAACATACGGCGTTTTTGACCAACCCAGTATCAGCCCAAGAGACGCACCATTCAAACTCTAGCTCTCGGTCACAAGGAAAACCCTATTTCCTTTGTAGAGAAATTTGCAGTTCGCCTGTTCGACCGCCCTTGGCCCAGAGCACAGTAATCCGAGCAGCACTATGGGAACCTGGCTCCTGCTGCCGGCCCCTCTTGCTTTTAGGCGCACTTACTACTCAGAGCTTGTTCCAATGGAGCATCGCATTTATATTACTATTGATAAAATAATAATGACAGTTTGCAGTCCCGGTGCGTCCTCCTTTGTCCCCGACTTTGTCTGCACGGGCAAATGAAAGCAGCAGACGGCCATTTGGGGCTCACCCGCCTCTGCAGGAAAGCTCGGCAGGAGCGGGCCAGCTGACAACCATCCACGGGCAAGTGCTCCCGGGTTATGAAACTCTGGAGACCAAGTGGCGGCTCAGTCAGCCTAAACGGAGCTTGTGGAATTCCACCGCGGAGGCGGGGGAAAATATTTGAAAGAGAAGGAAAGAAATGTCTATAATATGTTCCTCCTCTGGGCTGAGCCATTTCCGGGTGAGCAGAGTTACTAATATGTTTCCAAGCCCCGTGTTGGCAGATACTCGCCTTTCCTTTCTCCCAGGGAATGAGACCTCAGGCCCTTCCACTTGTGCTGGTCGGGGGCATGAAGTGGACATGAGACCAGGAGTGTCGTAATGGATAGCAGTCTTTAAAGCCAAGACAGAATAAACTGTAAATGTCACAAGTTTATATAATGCAACATAGTATTCCTCTGCCTCTGACATTTTATAAGTCTGATACAACATTGCAAAATAGTAATACAAAACAGAGCCTTGGGTAGCAGTGTTTGGAGAACAGGAAACACTGAGAATGGCTATGGGCCAGGCTTCCCCCAGGTGCATCAGGAAGGCAGCGAAGGAAAAGACAGCTCCTGCCCTTAGCGAGTTTAGAGTGCTGTGAGATAAACAAACAAGAATCTGTTTATGAGCAAACTTATCTCTGAGAGAGAGAGAAGTGCAGGGCCTCAAAGAGGAAGTTTGCAGAAGGCTCCCAGGGCGTGTGGTACCCGACTTTGCAGGAGGCACCACCCAGATGAAGAGAGGCTTGTGGCGGGGAGGGTTCCATTCAGAGAGAACAGCAGGAAGGTGAGTGAGATGGGGCACATTAAGAAATGACAAGGTGTAATGCGTCCAGGGAGGTCTGCAAAGCGTGCTGGTGACTGACGGCTGTCTCACAGTATCACACTGTGGGGAACAGGGCTTAGAGGCTCCCGGAGTGTGGACAGTCTGTTCTCTGGACCAGAGATCTATATTTCCTCTCTTTCTCCTTCTCCCCCTCCCCCATTCCTTCCTCGCTCCTTCTTTCTCTCCGTTTTCCTATGAACTCACCCACCGCATCATGCTACCTGATGCTAACAGCTATTGACCTGGGAGCTGTATCGGAGTGCAGATCAAGTTAAGAGACAGAGAGGATGAAGGAAGACAGTCTAAAATTCACCCCATCCAAGACTCAGAAAGAGACCGGGAAGAACGTGGAAGGGAGACACCGCGTGAAGAGCTCGTAGAGGGGGGACTCTCTGCAACTGTGGAGGCCTGTCTCCAGATGCTCAGATTCCGGTGAATCCCGGTGAATCCCAGTGAGGAGGGCTCTGCACCTGGATATGTCGCAGTGAACGCACCAAACAACAGAGACTGAAATGTCACCTCCCAGGGAGGAAAGACATAGAAACTACAAAGGAGGGGTCGCTAGGCTGAGAGCCCCAAGTAGGGAAACGTTCTCACTCGATAACTTTGTGTATAACACAGCGGTTTCCCGGGATGGGGAGGAGATAAGAACAGGCACGGAAGCTGCTAAAGGAATTCCCTCGCCGGTGTTATTCAAAGCCAGGGCGGGCCCTACACTCACTCTGTAAGGAATTTCAGAAAAAAAGTTCCAGAGAAAGGTTTGATCCATAAAAATAATAATGAAGAAAGGTGGACTTTGACACAGACTTCAAAATCATTTAATTCTTACAGCTGTTTCTTAAACTCCAGCACGTCTTGTGGGTTACACCGCGTCTGGGTCTGGGGGAAAAGTCTGCGTACTCGCTTCTGCCAGGTGAGATCCGTTACTACCTCCCACACCTTTCCGCTTCGTGTTTGGTTCTGTAAATCACCATCACCGTCAACTCTGAAGTCCCTCTATCAAGTGACTGGGTGTGCAGAAACCAACACATGTGGGAGGGTTTGAACTGTTCCTTCTCTCATGAAAAGGGGCCACCATCTTTGTCTTTTGCAATAAGGAGCCCCTCGGGGTAGCTGCGGGAGAAGTGTGCGCATCTTGCCGTCACATTTCTAAAGGTAACACAGAACAGGGTAGACAGATGTGTCGATCAGAGGAATGGAAGGAACAAACAGTATGAAAACTGTCTTGGGGCTGCAGCCTAGTCAAGCCTCGCAGCTGCCACTGCAATGGGACAG